TTTTTTTTTTTTTTTTTTTTTTTTTTTTTTTTTGAAAATATATCAAAAATAAAACAATTTGTTATAAGTACAATGATTACTATAGTTACCATATATAAAATTCATAGAGACACACAACTGAATTATGCAAGTAATCGATAAACATTTATTTGTCAAAGACGTATGTGTAGTAAATGTTGTATAAAGTAGACTATTATCTTATAGTTTTAATTAACGATCGTAGATATGACATTCTGAATTGTACATTTATTCATTCGCAATACATTTTTCATGTGACAGAAAATATGGTCCTTGAAAGAAACAAAAAATGTATTTAAACTTTATATAGCTTATTGACTTCAGGCCTAACGTAATACATTAATAATATTTCTCTTGCAATATATTTAAAGTAAAACATTTCAATCGCAACAAATACATAGTCATTATAATATCATTTTAACTAAATAGTAAAGTAATAGTATAAAATAAAATAAAATAAAATAAAATATAAAAAATAATTTGTTTTCACCCTTAAAAAACGATAAAGTGTTGATGAAATTTGCAAATTCATTTTGATTTTGTTAATAATTAAAGGCTTATTTAGTGAATGAGAGAATAAATATAACACAGGACCTTAATTTAATTTTAAAAACTTGTCGAAAAATAAAAACAATATATCAATGGTTTTGTAGCAATTGAATGTTTCATAATATATTAAATATAGGTGAGAATCCTATATAGTATAATAGATTATTGTAATAATATTTGTTGTGAAGAGAAAACATATGTTAGTTTTATGAATGTTTTGTCATCGAACGTGTTTTATTTAATTATTACAAAAGAAAAAGAAAAAAAAGAAGAAAGAAAGAAAACCAAGTTTTCACGAATTCATACGAATGCTAATCGACTGCAATATATTAAACAAAAAAAAAATAGAAGAATAAAAGAAGCGAAGAAAAAGGAGATTAATAAAAGAACATCCATCTCTCTTACGCGGACGAATAGATTACGTTATAATAATGAAATTTATATCAGCATTTAAAAACACTAGGTATTTATAAAAACTTTTTAAAGATACTTTCTTGCTAAGTGTGTCGCGTAGTGTAGTGTATATATATATACATACACTAAACTATGAATCTATGAATCTATGAGTAATCTGCTAGTATTTCATTAATTAGATTATATGGGATATATAAGTAACGATTATGTTTAGAACAAAACAATTATTAATTATATGCAACTGTAAAGTAACGCAAACATCAGTTAAATTATGTTTTTATTATTTTTTATATATATATATATATATATATATATATATGAATAATTCATATCGTTACACTTTCAGCAGTACTTAGTGAGTCTAATTATTTAAACAAATATTAAAAAAGAAAAATTCAATGTTTAGATATTAGATAACGAATCATGCTCTTATGCATTTTGGCTTATGATAAGACTATAACAATGAAGTACTAACCGATTACCATATAATTAATTTTGAATACTGGGAAGCTCTGAAGAAATGAAATTGAAAATGTCTTGATAGTCATTTCGGGTCACAACGCTTGCAGTTTAATTAATATGTACACCGAGTAAGTTACTTGTATCACTTGCATCAATATTATGCTCGATGTTTTTCATTGATATTATATTTTTACTACTCATTATTATTCCTTAAATATATGAATTTATATTCGAGATCAGTATTAAATTATATCTGATAAAATGAATGCGTGAATAATTATTAACCAGAAGATATTGTAAAGAATTGTAAAAGCTTTATCTATTAATTTATGCATAATATTGATTTAATAGTGATACCATGTCTTACTGCCTCTTATGTCTCTCTCTCTCTTTCTTTCTCTATCTCTATCTATCACTCTTTCATAATCTTTCAATTATAAAAGTGCTACAAAAACATATACACAAAGATCTTTAATAATTTGTCTGCTAGTTATTATTTTTAAGAATTATTTTCCAATGCTTACATTTTTTTATATTGTACACGTAATTATTGAAATTTCTTTTTCGAATTGTAAACAATAAAATAAAATGAGTAGTTTGATAAATATGCTAATAAAAAAAAAAAAAACGGACAAAATGTTTTATTATAACTTAACAATAAATAAGTTCATTTTCTTCTTCTTCGAAATGAAGCAACAATCTATCAAACGAAAAAACTTAACATTTCTTTTATACAAACATAAAATATTATATTAATATATATATATACACACACATATACATATCTAGATAATTTTTTGCGTTTATTGGAACAGGGAGTATATCGAAAAGTATTTCATTTTCAATTTATTATTTAGTTTTTGGCATATTAAAAAAAAGAAACAAGAAAGTAAGGATTTTCTTATTTGTCTTATTTATTATACATCTTCTGAGCATCTCCAGCATGTGTATCATTAAAATATATTAGTCTTAGAGAAGTTAATATTAAGTAGACATTTTTACTCTCGATTATATTATAATAACTATTCTTTGTGAGATTCTGTACAATGCGAACACTGTGTTCTGTTGCTTGGAATGTTTAGTGTATTTGTATAATTTCCAACTTTGTAACGTGTAATTAATGCCTGTTATTCTCTGTACTATGCAATTTAGGTATAATACAATTATAAAACTTACTTAAGAATATAATATATATATAAATATATGTATATATGCATATATGTATATATATATTATACAAAAGGGACACTATGTATGCAATACTGCATAAGTTAATATTATTCAATTAAATCAAGAAAACATTTTGTTTATTATTAAATTCGAAGAAAAGAAAAAAAAAAGAAATAAAAAGACAACATTTGTATAGAAGTTAATTATAATACTTTAAAATAAATTTTAGTACTATCTTAAATAAATTCATATTTTTACTCAAAAAAGCATTCATTTTAATGAGATTAATGTATTTCTTGATTTATGAACTGAAAATTGAAAGAATATTAGGATATCATAAATGAATAATATATGATTCGATCTAATCATGTCATTTACTACGCAAAGATTATTAAAATGACTTGATTTGCTTCGATGCAAGTTTTATTTATGTACGAGAATATAAAGAAAAAAAAAGAATATTGAGCGTGTAACTCTGCGAGTGAAAACGAACAAATTAGACTGTCTGAGGTAATAATAATTAAAAGAAAAGAAGAAAAAAAAAATAGAAAAAAGAATATTAAGCAAATCCTGACCTCATATGTGGTATTGCACGAGTGTCGATATTTGACTTCCATAGATAAGAATTAAGTTATACAAAATAATAATAATAATAATAATAATAATAATAATAATAATAAAAATAATAATAATAATAATAATAATAATAATAATAATATTAATAAGATGAGCACAGCACATTTCAGCCTGTACTTTTATAAAAGAAAATTAACGTTCAAAAAAATTTGTAGACATTGGAACACAATTCTTGCGTCCTCAAAGTGCTAAATCTATAAATTCAGTCAGGTTTCGTGTAAGCTTTCAAAAATTAACTTTCGATAATTGAAGAATGCGAACAAATAATAATTTGGGGATTAAAAAAAGGATTTTTTTGGGAAAAATATATATAGATACATTAACTTGATTCTTGTGTAAAAGTGATATGCGACCTTGTGATCGATAGAAAGACCTAATTGATTATCGTAGAAATAATGACAATAGTACACTTCTATTGTCATTAAATCATTTCTAGAAATTAATAACTTCTCAATAATTAATATATTAATTGTAGTTTTTTAATTCACACATTTAAATGTAACGACAAAGGTAACTTTTAAATCTTTAAACTTTAGATATCTTCTTAAGTAAAATAATACATCATGCATTTAATCAATACCGTACGTACAATAAACACCATTTCATCGTACAATAGGAAAATGATTGCATTGTAATACATAATAAACATTGTGATTGTGACTAATGTACAGACATGATTTGTACTTCCCTTTTATATAAATGAATCTAAACATTGTAATCATAGATTATAGCAAAGCACAGATTAATAATCAAACATTAGAAATCTCTCTTTGTTAAACATTCGAAATGAAATAATACTCAAGAAAACATGGAAAGTACAAATATGTAGCTACACGGTCCTGATTGAATATTGGTAAAAAAAAAAAGTTGTAAAGACATAACCATGGAGAGAATGTGTCTAGTAGAATGTGTAAAATTATATCATGATCGAATGCTCTGTCAGTCCGCACTTAAATACCCTTTCGTGTTATTTAAATATACATTTTAAAAGTGGCATATACTTTACTTTTTATTAAAAATGCAATGATTGTATATGGGCTGCATTTGAATCATGATCGAATGTAATGATTTACTAAGCGATGCAAAATAAATGAAAAAAAAGATTTAAAGAGATATTATCTTTGTATGATATTTTTCCTATCTAATCATAGATATATACATTAGCAGATGAAATGAGAAACATCAAAATTAATAATATACTTTTAGTATATATACATTTTTATTCCACATCGTTACAAACGCTTATTTTTCAATTAATCGCTATTCTACTTAATTTCTTAAATATATTTAAATGTAGTATCTCGTTTATATCCAGTTACTATCTCTAATTTTACAATGCATTGTAAATAACGACTTAAAAATTCTTCCGTATAACCAGTTAAAAAGTACATTTTACCTGGATGTATAAGACGATCAACAATACCGGCAATTCTAATTATATTATGTTGCCTTTTAATAATTACTTCGCATACAAATAAATTGTGCCACGTTCCTGTCATGAACCGTCTAATAAAGACATCTTCCAATGCTGTTTCAGCCGGTCTGTTTCCATCTTTTATATTTGCTAAATCGCAAAGATATATTAAGTCATAATTATTATATTACGGTCATGTACTCACCGGTTTACTTCATACATACACGTATTCCAAGAGTTCCATGATTTTCTATGCGCAATGTAATGAGGTGGATTAGCCATTTCATATGTTAAACGTAAAGTTCTTTTTAGTGTTGGTTTATATCGAGCAGATTGTACTTTATTAACAACTGCGCTGACATGTATACAACGACGCAATGAAGGTTGCTGTAGAAAAGATATCTGCAAATATTAATGATAAATTAGCATGATTCATGAGATTGTTTTAATCCTATGCACTTCAAGGTTTCAGAACTGAAAGTAAAAGTACTATGAATAAAAATAATCTTTGAGTGCATAACGTTATAATCATAGAGAGAGGTTATATTAGAAAACTTTGATTGTAATATTAAAAATGTCAATGATTACCTTAATTACATTAGCTGCACTTGCTAATAAGGCCATTTTCTTTGATCGATGGATTAAACAGTTAACTTTAATACATTATAACACAATAAAAAAACAAAGAATAAACACATCAATTAAATTAATATAAAATAAAGAGGAACACCAGGAGTTATACTAAGTTCGCGCATGATCCACATGCGCAGAAGCGTGCGCGCCAATATGACATAGTTTAAATTTCAAATATATAAGCAAAGAACAGAATTACTAAAAATTAAACAATACTTTTATTAACAATAAATCAACGATAAAAAAGAAATTAGAAATAATTTCACAATGAAATATAACAAAAAATTGAAACGACGAATTAAACAATACAAGAATAAACAATAAATTCTATCATATCTTATAACAACATAATAATAATAAATGAAAGGAAAAGTATCTTTAAAAATCAAATTTCGAATAGAAAGAAAAAGAAGAAGAAGAAAAGAGAAAAAGATGAAGAAATAGTGTAAAAGAATAGGGATATTAAAAAGAACTTTGGTAGATTATACTATGAAGAAGAAGAAGAAGGAAAAGGATGAAGGATATTGTAATGGAGTGAGGGGATTGGGAGTGCAGTAAAGGGGCGGGGCAAAAGCGTCGGTGGTTGGTAGCAAGAGAGAAGAGCGGGGATTGGTTAGCGAAGTGGTGGGGGGTAGCTCGATTCGCTGGAAACTCGGTGATCAGAGCGGGAGCACAGTGTGCGTCCTGACGTGACAATGGCGGTATTTACGATTGCAGTGCGGTGCATTATTGTGATCAGCTGATCGAACGCGGTTCCGAGAAGATAGAATAATAGTGTGTGCGTGTGTGTGCGTGCGTGGGTGTTTGCGTGTGTGAAAGAGAGAGAGAGAAAGAGAAAAAACGAAAGAGAGGTGTCGTGGTCAAAAAGGCAGAAAGAAGAAGAAAAAGGGTCAAGAGAAAAGGACGGAGAAAGTGAAAAAAAGAAAGAACTCTCGAGGTGGTGGTGCGTGGTTCTATCGAGAAGTAAGGTGTTTAAAGGAGGAAGGAAAATATTATTTTAGTAAAAGACGATGTCGTCATCATCGTCGTCTTCTTCTTTTTCGTCTTTTTCGTTTTCGTCGTTTTCATTATTATTGTTGTCATCATTGTCAACGTTGTCATCGTGGTCGTATTCGTGAGAGATCGACTGTGCCTTCGTAGGCGCCGTCGTTCCTAATCCCTTTTATTGTGTGTTTGTTGCTAATATATTAGTAGTGTTCCCCCCTTTATATCCGGTGTGTGTCGTGCACGAATGCGTGAAATTCGCACGAGAGGTAGATAAATGTCTCTCAACCATGCCCGCCGTGCGGAAGTACAGAAGGGATACCAGTGAAGTGAGCTGTTGCCTCAAGTACGTCATCTTTGGATTTAACGTCATGTTTTGGGTATGTTCTATAAAATTTATTTTTATTCATTTACAAATTCTTTTTTTATTTTTATTCTTTTTAATGTATATTTATTTTTATATAAGATAAATATTTCACGAGTTCTTTTTTTTGTAAAATATCGATTTATCGAATCACGATCATTTTTCATCTTACGTACTTTCTGATTGGTCAATATTTAATACGAGATATTATTGAAAAAGGAAATTGAAGTTTTTCTTTTTTACGAAGTAAACTATGTAATAATAGCAATGCAGTTTATCTATATATATATAATAGTTATTTTGTAACGGTTAATAGAGCAAATACGAGTAATAACTTGTTTCGTCTTGTTTCTTGTTGAACCTTGTCGCTTAAAATCGCGTTACCATGAAGAAATAGAGAGAGTGAGTGAGAGAGAGAGGAAGAGAAAGAATTGTCAGTCTTATACAATCCCCACCAACAAGACATCAATGCGTTCACCACAGCTTACAATGTAATATATAGTAAATAAAAAGTTTCTATTCCTTTGTTCGTCCTCTTCTTTATTGTATCCTTACTCCTTTATCCTTCTTTCTTTCCATCTTTCATCCCCTTTTCTCCATCCTTTGTAATATTACCGAAAATCATTGAATTTCCATTCTCGAATTTTCCCCTTGTATATTAAAAATTTTAATTAAATTTACCGCAAAACACACAATTCGATTATACATTCACGAATTATATCCTTAGAGAAAAAAAAAAAATAATCAAATAAATCGAACATATCGTAAATTCGATATATTTTTCGCGGGCTTTAAATGATTCGCGTATTCCAGATGATGTTATCGATAAATCGAAAGAATTAACAAAATTCTATATCTCAATTTCTAAAATTGCATATCATCCGAACGAAAATATATTTAATTCGTTTATTATGTTATCAAAGATAAAAAAAATGAAATAAAAAAATAAAATAAAAAAAAAAATGTACAATTTATCGAATAACAAATAATAAAAGGGATAACAAATTCTCTTTTATAGACACTTGATACAATTGGTATCGATGAAACTTGACTTGGTTTCATTTGTATAGAATGCAACTCTATATACATATACATATATACATATATACATATGTGCATGTATTAATGCATTGACTGGTCGTTTTGTAAAATCGCAAAAGGTCGCCGAGTGTTTCGATGGAGAAGAAGAGATAGATGGAAACAGATAGACAGATAGATAGATAGATAGATAGATAGATAGGGTTAGGGAGTGTGTGTGAGTGAGTGAGTGAGAGGGTGAGATATGGTGGGAGAAAGACCGGGAACGAGCCGCAATGCAGCTCGTATGCATCGTCAAGTGTTCCAATTGCTAGAAGCGGGCCACATATACATATACATATACGTGTGTACGTATAGTCCTGTATATATATATATCTCATAGAGTAATACGCGTATATACACACGCCGGACGCATCCCATTGTAAATACGGGGAATTAAACGAAGTTCGCGACTCGTGAACCACCGACGAACGACGACCCCCTATGTGCACCATGTATGCACATGGAACGCGAGAGAAACGTCGTGTCGCATCGCATTGCATTGCATTGCATTGCATTGCATCGCATCGCATTCTTTCGTTTCGTTTCGTTTCGTTCGTCTCGTCTCGTCTCGTTTCGTTTCGTTTCATCCACCTCTTCGAACATATACCGAACCTTTTTGTTTTGTTTGTTTTTTTTTTTGGTTCTTGTTTTTTTTCTGAGCCCCTCCTACTCCTCATTCCCACCCTCATTCAACCCCTCCCCCTTTTGTTCTTCTTTTTTGTTTTACTTCTTTGATTCCCTTCTACGTTCGTACCGTTTAGCGAAAATCGATCGAACTTTAACGAGTTTCGTTTCTATTGGAACCACCACCACCACCACCACCACCACCATAACCAACCCCTGCTGGACTTCTATTACGTTTAGTTCAAATACTATACTTCCGAGAAAGCCACTAGACAACTTTTGTCTTGATTTTATCTTCGATCGATTAGTCATTCGAATTAATTGAGGATTTTTTTTTTTTCTCTGTCCAGCCTATCTCTCCTCCCCTCCTCCACCACCCTTTCTTTCTTTTTTTTCCTCCTTTTATATTTTTGTTTTTGTTCTTTATATAAGCTTATATATATACGAAAATGATTATTATAATATATTAGATATTTATCGATCGATCAAAGTCAATCAGATATTTTGTTTCTCTTTTTATTTTTACTTTATATAAGTCAAGTTTTTTTATTCCAGGATGCAATTGGATTATTCAACGTTATCATTGTATATAGATTTTATTTGATTGATTAAAATAAAAATAATCAAATTGTAATGTAGAAATAATTATAAATTGTATATATGAAGTATATTGGATTGGTTAATAAATAATATGAAAATTTGTAAAAAATTTGTAATTAAATTTAA